TTAGAATTCTGCTGCACAAACGAACCGACTGGGAGGTCGCCGGGTCCCCAGGGACATTCCACAGTGGCCCAGCTGATGGCCCTGCAATGAAATGGAACGTCAGAGACACTCCAGCCGGAAGAGACTGCAACTGGGCTCCTCTGACCGCATATAAATCACAAGGCAAAGGGCACCCCCCACCCAGCCACCCACCCCCCAAGGAAAACACGGCCAGGACAGGCTGCCAAGCCAAGCCAAGCCGCCCAGGCGCCAGCCACCCCGCAGCACAGATGGCGCCCCGGACGCCTGGCCTTGGGGCTGCAGCCAGTGTCTTTACTTCACTGCAATTTGTTCCTGATTTTCAGTCCAATCCCTACAAGGCTGGGGGCCCCCAGAGAGTTATACTCTGACCTCGTGACGGTTAACATCGAGGCTGAGGGAAGATAGATATGAGGGCAAGTCTGTCCGTGAGAGGTGGGCGGTGGGGGCCGGGTGGGGTCTCGGGGCTAAAGTAAAAGTGCTATTTGTGAAGTTATTTCCCGTCCATAAAAAGAGCACAGTGTCTTTAAAGAGACAAGTTGCCAAGAGGGAAAGAAAGTCTTCTTTCAAAAACTGCCAGGACTGGCGGTCCTCCGTTACCATGTGTGTTGAGAAAAGGACACAGAGTAGACGCGGCTGAAGACCTTCTGTGGCTCACAGGGCGCTGCACTCCTGCTCTGGCTGCAGAGACAAGGGCCCCGAGCCTCGGCCAGTGCAGAGTCCCCGGCCACCCCGGCTGCAGCGGGTGATAGCAGGACACAGCGGGGCAAGCAGCATTTGCTCTCACCTCTCAGACCTGGCACAGGGTCTCTGGGGTGGAGGGCACAGGCCATGCGCCCCTAGAAGATGGGGACCGTGGCCAATGGCCCCTCAACACAGTCTTGTGTGTCCCCGGGTTCACCCAGAGATGCGTACAAGGTAACAGAGCCCCCAGGCAGCCCAGTGGGTGCCCAACCTGGAGGCGAGGATGTCACAGCAGAGCCCCTCCCATGCAGGCGGGCACAGCCTTGCCCCAGCCCCGCCGGGCGCACGCAGGCAGGCAGGCAGGCAGCGACAGGACTCCTGCTAATAGAAACTTGGCCTCCTGTTAGCTTTCTGTGTCCTCCTCCAGGACAGTCCCGGGGGCGGTGGCGGGGGATGGCCCCCATGTGTAGGGGAAGGAGGAGGAGGCGGATGCAGTGCCCACGGGTCCATGGGGAACACAGCCACCTCTCCTGGACGCTTCTGTGGAAGAGGCCACGGAGGGCTGCGGACTGTTTTCTACAAAACCCCCGGTCGGGGAGCCCAGCACAGAACATGACAGATGTGAAATGGACCCACCCACACGGAGCAGCAAGGCCGAACAGAGGCTAGTTTTCAAAAGAAATTCCAAGTTGGAAAAAAAAGCCAAAATTATTTCTTTTCCCCTGAGAATTTACCAGAAAGCAAGATAATTATCATCCTAAGCAACTTCCTCAGAAAACAGAACATCTCCCTGATGGAGGAGGCCTACGGGCTGCCCACAGGGAGCGGGGGAGTTGGGGGGTGGGGGGAAGCGGGTGGTGGGGAGGGGTCTGCGGGAGCTGTGACCACACGCCATCAGCAGAACAGTGAAGCCTGTCGGAGATAAGTTTTCTCAGTCAAAATTTTACAGTGGTAACACAGAAGACATGGAATTGACCGTTTTAGCCGGGCTACATGCACAGCTCCGCAGGCTTAAGCTCATGCACACACCACACCATCATCTCCAGAACTTTCTCATCTTCCCAAAGTGAGGCTCTGCCCCACGGAACACCCCCCACCCCCTCCACCATGCCCATCCCCTCCCGGCCCTGGGCTTGGACTCCAGGGACCTCCCGTAAGCGGAATCCCACAGTAATGTTCCTCGGAGTCAGCTGCGTTCACACACACACACATCCCCAGGGCACGTCCATGGTGCAGCACGGGTCAGAACCCCTCCTTTCCAGGCAGGATCCTACTCCCTTGCTCGTGGTGACCACATCCTGCTCATCCAGTTGTCCTCCTCCTCCCATCCCTCAGCTCCTGTAAACAGTGTTGCAGTGGACACGGCGGGACTGGGGTGTTGAAAGCCTCTGTGCTAGACCAGCCTTCAGTTCTTCAGGGCAAACTTTCGGGAGTGGGGTGGCTGGATCCACAGAAACAACGGCTCTGCTTTAATTTTGAGCAGCCTCTGCCCTGTTCTCCACAGCAGCTGCATCGTTTTACACTCCCACCGACAGTGTGCCAGGGTTCCAGCTTCTCCACACCCTCGCCAGCACCTGCTGTAAGGATTACATTCCCAGGAGAAAAGCCTCGGAGGATTTTTCCAGGGTCCACTGCAGAGGGTGGAGCCGGTCGTGTTCCTGTTCTTGGCACATTGGGGCCCTGGGTCCACGCAAGGCCTGTGACTGGAATTACTCAATCCCACTGTATCCCTTGCCCACTGCCAGCCCCTTCCCTCCAAAGGTCATGTCTATAAAACAAGTCTCTTCTTACTTGAATGTGTTCTTAAGTGCATTTTGTTATGCACACTTTTTTTTTTAAAGACTATGCCTTCTTTTTTAAATTTTTTAAATTTATTTATTTGGCTGCACTGGGTCTTCACTGCTAAACAGGCTTTTCTCTAATTGAGGTACACAGGCTTCTCGCTGCAGTAGCTTCTCTTGTTGCAGAGCACAGGCTCTAGGGCCCAGCAAATTCAGTAGTTGCAATTTGAGGGCTCAGTAGCTGCAGCTCCTGGGCTCTACAGGCTTAGCTGCCTTGTGGCATGCAGCATCTTCCTGGACCAGGGATTGAACCTGTGTCTCCTTCATCGGCAGTCAGATTCTTCACCATTGAGCCACCAGAGAAGCCCTGCACATCTATTCTTGATTTAGATATGTGGATATGGGATGTATTTCATTGCACTTCCTGTTTTCTAGGCAAGTACTGTGCTTCCAGTGGTCCCTGTCACCACACACAGTCCCCACCCGTCCCGGGTGGCTCCAATCTCTGCCCCCTCCCCACACACCTGCAGACCGACACCTCAGGGGTCTGCCTGGGGACCCCATAGGGCCCATCCCTGGTCGGAGCAGCCTTCACTTGAACTGGCAGGAGGGCACCCAGCCCGACTAGAATGCAAGTGCAGGAGGGCTCCCAGGTGGAGGAAGCTGCAGGGAGAGATGGTGCCCAAGAGCTGAGCCTGCTAACAGGTCAGACCTCAGTGTGGAAGGATGGAGCCCGAGGAAAGCCATCCCACCTATCGGGTCTAACACCATGTGTGTATCCTGTCTGTCTCCTGTCGCTCTCCTACCCCAGGAGCCAAGGCACCTGAGACTGACCCCAGACTCTATGTCAGATGCAATTTTCTCATAAGAAACCATAGTAGACGTGAGGATCGGGGGTTTTGATCACACGAGTCCGCTATCTCAGTCTGTTATGGCCACTGCCTGTATGATGATGGGAGTGGGGTGAGAGCAGGAGAGGAGTCAGGAAGTCTGGAAGGCGTGAGTCTCCCAAGTGGAGGCTGAGTCACCTTGGAACAGAAGGTTGGGGTCAGCCTCCCAGGACCCCCTCCTCTCCACCATCTCTGCCTCCGTGGATAAGCAGAAGGCACCTGACCCAGTGACCCCAGGTAACCTTAAGCCTCCCCCCTCTCCACCCAGCCACTTTCGACTTTCTGTCTCAGAAATGGCACACAGAGGCGGGCAGGCCCGGCCCCACTCATCCTGACACTCCTGCACCCCTGCCCACATCTCAAGGACTTGATGAGAACCGCCTGATCTGCATAGCCACCCCACCCCCGACACGCTGGGCCTCCAGCCCCTAGCAGGCCAGTGCACAGCCAACAGGGAGGCTCCGAGGACACGTGTGCATGCCCACCCAGGCCCAAGACACTCCACCATTTCCAGAACAGAGACAAAAGTCCAGGTCCTCTCAGGACCTGCCCCAAATCCCTTCATCTGGCCAAGATGCTCTCTCCTCCTTCTTTTCCTACCTTCTTCCCATCACCCAGATGTGACCTGAAAGCATCAAAATCCCCTCCATGTGCTCAGACTGCACACATGTCCTGCTTCTTTCAGTCCCACATGTGTTGTTCTAACTGGGTCCGTAAACCACCACCCTACAGTCTAAACCCACCTGCCATCACCTTTGTAAGGATAATTTCACTGGACAGGGCTGGCTGCCCTGTGTGTTGTGCAGGTGTCCACACTGGCCCCAGGAAGTCTGGGCATGAGGCCACAGAGCCCTGGATTGAGGACTGGGCCAGTCTGGTTTTCTGTGAGATCCTCAAGCTCTGGTTTGATGTGGGCAGGAACAAGGTCAGTGTCGGTCAGACACTGACCATCAGCATACGCCTCCCCCGGCCCTGGGTGGAGCAATGTGGGCACCACGTCTGTCCTCCAAATTCGTGAACGGGGGCCAGCTGAGCAGGGTCCTCCAGGGACCCAGTGCAGCCACCCCACATGTTCTCAGTGCCAGGTGTGTGATGGACAAGACATTGCTCAGACCCGACGCACTTGCCTGAGCTGGTCATGGTCCTACATCACCCCCACTGCCCCGAATGACCACCCGAGGATATTCAGCAAATGAAGCTGGAGACCTATACAGATGCCTGACTACTCAGTCTTCCCTGGATGCCTGCTCTGTGCTCAACCCCGTTCAAGGCCTGACCCAGGAGCTCCACCATGAATGCCACGTCCCCATCACAAACAGGTCGATGGTTTTCTGGAAAACTGGGAGACAGCTCATAGAGCAGACCCAGTATTTGGGCACCCCATCCAAGCATACAACCCCACAGCCAGGCTAGAGCAGCCAGTGGTATTCACAGGGCGCCAGGCGCTGTGGGGCAGTGGCAAGGCCAGAGGGGCCATCCAGGTGTGGACTGTTGAAGGTCTGGGGGTCAACCAGGGGTCCCAACTTTGGCCTGTGGGTAAAGGAAGCCATGGATGAGTTTTAAGACTTTTGTTCCTAAATTGATGAGATTTCATTTAGGATGCAGACTCAGTCTGGAGAAAGCACCATGAAGGAAAAATTCTCTATTTTAAGACACTGAAACGAAGTTGCAGTTCCTAAAGTAGTATTTTTGACTTCCAACCAGGATTTCCCCTGAGATTGAATGAAGCTCCCAGCCCCTGGCAGGTGGGTAACACTGCAGTCCTAGCAAGACTCTGGGGCACCACCTCCTCAAATACCCTCCAACCTGCTCCCGCTGGCAGAGCAGAGGGCAAGAATGAAAGAAGCACCTCCCCCCGCCATGCCCATCTCCCCTCTGCAGGCACAGAGCACGTGCCCCAGCCGCCGAGGCCCTGCGCCGGCCGCATGTCCTACTGGCCACAGGAAGCAGGACAAAGCCGGGAAGGAAGAGGAGGGAATCCTCACCCTCGGGCGGAGCCAGGCCGTGGGCCGGGGACCCTGGACAGCTTGAGACGAAAACATTCTTGGAAGTTGACGAGGCCACAAGTGAAAACAAAAGATTCTATCTGGTAGGAAATCAGACAAAATGGAGAGAAATTTGTTTGGTTTGGGGAGATAAAATAAGCAACAGGGCAGTGAACTCGGGTCAGGAGGGCAAAGTAGCCTTCCCCAGAGCTGAGCGCGAAAAAGAACACCATCCTCAGCCCGGCACAGCTCCTTTCTGCACAGAGAGGTGTTGTGTGTGAGCAGAGGAGCCAGATCCAGGTGAACACACCCAGGAGACCCAGCCTTCCCACCCCAGATCCAGGTGAACATGGCCAAGAGACATGGGCCTTCCCACCCAAGTCTCAGCAGAGGGGGAGCTGCCTGATGTCTCCTACAGATTCCTGCCTGAAGCTAAACCCTGACCAGGCCCCCAGAGGGAACCCCCTTCCCCTCGCCACCAACATCCAAGTCAGTCAGATACTGAGTTCCCATCTGGTCCAGTGCCCTGTGGACGAAGATCTGGAGGCCAAAGTCCAGACCAGAGTGACCTCACAAGCAAGAGGGGACGCCCTGAAGACCTAGGAGCCCCAGCCTCATAGAGTGGTTGTGCTTGAAAAGGACAGGCTTTGGGCTATTTGCCACGCGCTTTGGAGTCACTGTTTACACGGGAGCATCCTGCCTGCAGTGATTCACTGACAGCACGCTGAGTGCACTTACCAACGACAGACAGAGCTGACAAACATTAAGGGCCAGGAGGCCAGGCCTCCTGCATCTATCTGGTGGCCAGGAGCGGGGTGGCCCCTCACGGTCTCCCCTCACTTCCGGCCCCCGTCTGAGCTCTTCAGGGACCCTTTCTGGGTCCAGACACGTAGACCCCCAGGCCCCGCTCCATGTCAACCCCACATCTCCTGCCCACAGGACCAGAGTCTATGCTGTAAAGTGGAAGCCTGGCTATCACTAGTATTCTGGAACATTGCATCAGGAATCTAAGCAGAGGGGCATCAGATTCCGTAAGAGGGAAGAAGAGCCAGAGTTTAGAGAACAATGGATGGCCAAGCCCTCCTCTGTTCTCCAGAGGGGTGACTCTGCCTCCCAGGTGCAGCCATCGTCCCCAGTTAGAACAGTCAGAACTCCAGAAGGGGTCCAAACCCAGACACAGGCTCCGGGCACAGGGAGGCAGCAGAACCCGGAGAGCCATCTCAGAAGAGGTTAGGCGTGTCAGTTCCCAGGGGTGCAGGCGCCCTCAGATGAGCCCACAAGCATAGAAACAGTTTGGATGCGTGCTTCCACACTTAATAGAAGTTATCGTGCAAAAACATAAGCCTGCCAAGTATGTCATGACAGCAGCCAGGCGTCTGCTGTGACAGCAAGCAGATTTCCTAACCCCGCTGCACACAGGAAAGCGCCGTAAATCTTCGCTCAGACCAGTGCCCCGGTGGAGTGACCAGTGGCCAGAAATAGCTCCTTTACTGCAGACGACTGGAGATTGCAGCCGAGATAGGCCCGAGGAGGGGGAGTGGGCGGAGGGGGAGGCCCGGCCTGTGAGCCCTTGGAAAGGTCTCTCTTATGGGGGGGCCGCGGCGCCCGCGGGAAGCGGAGGCAGCTCTGGCACACGTGGCCGCGGTGCTAAATTAACTGTTAACACAAATAATCAAAGTGCAAGACCCATCAGCGGCTGGCGCCAGCGGAGCGCAAAAGCAGTGGTCAGGGCCGGCGGGAGGCAGGTGGAGGGAGGCCGGCGGGTGGGACCGGATGGGGGCCGGTCGCCCGAGGATCCGGACCTGCGCAGGGGGATGGGCCGGGGAGCGGGGCGGGGACTCACTCAGGACCCGGGGGCGGGGTTACCGCAGACCCACGGGCGGTGGGGGAGGGGAGGCTCGCACCTGGACCCTCGCACGCGTGAACTTAAGGTTCGCAGCCGCCCTGGAAGCCCCGAGCCTGGTGGCACAGGTGTGGGGCTTAAGAGGCTGCATCCCGGTGGGCCGCAGCTGGAAAGCTGTGGGGATGCGGGGAGCCCGGCCTTACCGCGGGCCCCAGTAGAAAGGGCGGTCTCTGCAGCCCTGCTCTGTGAGCTGCCTTCAGACTCCATGCCTCAGCTTGCAGATCGTCTCAAGGCTGAATGCACAGTGGCATAACTGAGCTTTTGTAAGTTTTTAAAAACTGATTTCATGTGTGTCGTGTGTGGATGTGAGAGTTGGAACATAAAGAAAGCTGAGCCCCAAAGAATTGATACTCTTGAACTGTAATGTTGGAGAAGACTCTTGAGAGCCCCTTGGACTGCAAGATCAAACCAGTCAATCGTAAAGGAAATCAGTACTGAATATTCATTAGAAGGACTGATGCTGAAGCTAAAGCTCCAATACTTTGGCCACCTGATGCGAAAAACTGACTCACTGGAAAAGACTCTGGTGCTGGGAAAGATTGAAGGCAGGAAGAGAAGGGGATGACAGAGAATAAGATGGTTGGATGGCATCACCAACTCGATGGACATGAATTTTAATAAGCTACAGGAGTTGGTGATGGACAGGGAAGCCTGGAGTGTTGCAATCCATGGATTGCAAAGAGTCAGACATGACTGACTGCACTGAACTGAAAAATTGATTTAACTGACTTTAGTGTGTTTACTGGAGAAGGCAATGGCACCCCACTTCTTGCCTGGAAAATCCCATGGACGGAGGAGCCGGGTAGGCTGCAGTCCATGGGGTTACGAAGAGTCAGACATGACTGAGCGACTTCACTTTCACTTTTCACTTTTATGCATTGGAGAAGGAAATGGCAACCCAGTCCAGTGTTCTTGCCTGGAGAATCCCAGGGATGGGGTCACACAGAATAGGACACGACTGAAGTGACTTAGCAGTAGCAGCAGCAGCAGCAGTGTGTTTACGGTGGCTCAGTGGTAAAGAATCTGCCTACCAGTGCAGGAGATGAAAGAGACACCGGTTCGATCCCTGGGTCAGGAAGATCCCCTGAGGAAGGAAATGGCTACCCACTCTAGTATTCTTGCCTGGGAAATCGCATGCACAGAGGAGCCTGGTGAGCTACATGGCAAAAGAGACGACTTGAGCATGCACACATGCATGTGTTTATACAGACACAGCCACTGAAAAACAAAATTTCTCCCTTTAAAAAAGGCATTAAAATCATGATATAGTGACTAAGAAAGCTATAATAGGTTAGGTTCCTGGACCATGTTTGAACAAGATAGGAGAATTATGTGAACGGTAGGATGGCTATGTCCACAAGCGCCCACCTCACGTCAGGGCCCCAGGTCTGAGGCCAGGCAGCCAGAGCCTGGGTTATGAGCTCAAGGCTGGAACATGGAGGATGGTCCAGAAGGGCAGCAGGAATGGGTTTTCCCTCCATATTCATCCTTCACCAAGTGTTGGGTTAGCCCGTAATTTCATTCCGGTTTTCTGTAACAAAATCAAGACTAAACTGCTCTCATGCAGGACCTGTGTCTCACCCACCATCCGTGCCCACAAACACACGACCGGCGCCGATGAAGGGGTAACGGGATGAATGATCAGCAAGAGACCACCGACAAAATGAGGAAAGAGAAAAAGTCCAAGTGTGGTTAGACGATAAGAAGCTTGTGTTGGGTTTGGGTTTTGATGAGAATGGTGGTAGATGCGGGCAGCTAGAGCAAATCTAAATGAAGTCCTGCCTACCCGCCTTTCGGAAGTGAAGCCGAACCAAGAGCTATGGGCTTGGGCACAATCTTTTAAAATGCCCCCTCAGAATCCTCCCTGCAGGTCATGCGCCCACACCTAACAGAGCTCCCCCCTACAGGCCCGACTCTGTTCAAGAGAAAAGTCTGGGGTCAGCCGAATTTGACATCTCTTGTGAGGTTCAAAAACTAATGGAATTTAAGACAAAAGGATTTTTTTTTTTTTTTTTTTAAGAAACATACCCAGAAAAAAAAAAAAAGAAACATACCCAGGTGGTCCTCATGGATGTCCTTTTACAGGAGAAAGAGCAAGGCGGACAGAGGTGGAAGAGGCAATCAGGGTGTGAGGTTCTTACAATAAATACGGGTTTGTTGCTGTTCACAGCTACTTGCTTGCACTATTGGAGAAAATATGTAACTTTTTTATTAAAGGAAGTTTTTTACATATAAGAATGTTTTTGTATGAAAAACAGCACTGCAGCCAGAGAGTGTCTGCTCTAAAGGACATGTTGCTGATCCCAGCGTTATAGCTCGTTCCAGGAGCCCTCAGCCCTGGAGCTGTTTCTGGACGCACCCGCCTTCCCTGCTACGGGGTTTTTCCCCAGATTTGGGGCTGAGCCCCCAGGACTCGGTCCCTTAGCTCCAGGAATTCCCTGGAAGCTTGTACAGTTTGGGAGAAGCTAGGGGAGGAGGAGGTAGGAGGATGGAGACCCGAACCACCCCTCCCCAGCTGGGCACTCTGTCCACAGGCTCCCGGCCCTTGAGGATCAAATGGCACCTCAGCCTTTTGCTGCCGACCGGTTTTTTCCTGTCTAGAAACTAAGGGTTTTCCACTTTATTCTCCAAGAAGCAAAAAGTATTGCACATTTACTGTAATAAGCCCAAAGAAAATAATATCACAAACCAAATAAAATCAGAAAATTAAATTGTGAAAAATAATAAAATAAGACAATTGGTCACCACACTTTTACTTGAATAAAAAGATGCCCTGTGTCCCATCTGCCCTTGATGTGTTTTTCATCCTGACTTCACTGTCAGCCAAGCAGCTGCCTTTACCAGGGAGCTGATTTGAATGATAGAATGAAATCTCCCCAATAATGCAGCGTTGTCTAAAAGAACCCCTAAAGTCCTGTGGTGTGTCTGCGTCTTGCCTTTGCTGGTGGGAGAGCCTAGATTTCCACTGAAATTACTCAAGTCTCTGAAGAGCTCAGGAGCCTAATGTACTCAAGATCCAAGTAATTTATTTCCACTTCATTCTACACAACTGGTTAGGTTCAAACCCTCCGAACCTCAGACATACACTCCCTGTTGCCAACCATGGCTGCAGGATCATTTGTCACTAGGGGAAAGGGAGATGCAGGGGGTTCTAGAAGACTGTCTTCCAACACCATGCATCAAGGGTCTTCACAAGTTTTGCACACTTGTAGATTTGATGACCCTCACAGCAACAAAGCCCTGCTCAAAGCAATGGCTCTTCTCTAACAAATTATTTCTCTCACTTAAAAAACAGTCATTGTGCAAACTGACCTTCTGTCTGCATTCATCCGCGTTGGTCACAGCCTTCTGGGCATGAATATGTGTCTCCAGGTTTTGGGAGGGTGGCCCGGTCAGCCTGGCCCTGGCAGGGGGATGCTGGTCCTCAAGGCGGAGAGGCAGCGCTGACTGTTTCCAGGGCTTTGGCACACCACACCCTGTCATTGTGGAGGTTCAGTGCTGCTGGGCTCTTTCCTCTATCTTCTGTTTGATGGTAGGAAGAGGGTGTGTAGGGTGCAGATAAGAAAGAGACTTAATGCCTGAAGGCCACAACCTGATCTCTGTCCTGATCACTGCTGGCACCCCAGACCCTGTCACCTGTGCCTTGTGGAAGTCCAGCTGGTGAGCGAGCATGTGCTCTGCAGTGGAGACAGCCAGCCCGGGCCTTCATCTCTGAGGACAGGACGGGTCTGGTCCCCGGGCTGTGGCGGGAAGTGAACCAGAGGGTGAGATTCCACTGCCACCCCATTCATACCTGCCTGTGTGCACTCTGGGCCGCATGATTCATCTCCCCGTGTTCTGTTCAGAAGCACCGAGTTCCTCTCCTTCTCTCCGCTCTGCAGCCAGGCCTTGACCTGCATGCAGAGAGGGGCCTGGGGTTGATGAGGCCTTCGGGTCCCTCCCCTGACCTGCTGCACCCGCGGATCCAGGGAACCCAGAAGTCAGCTGGAATCAAATCCGCCTGGAGATGATGCATCAGAAAGCTTACTTGTCACCTACTGGGAACACTCCTTACAAGCCAACAGAGGGAAGCATATTTTGGAAGAAAATGGGAAGAGTGCCCAGTGCTTACCACGTCCTTCAGCCTCATGCATGGCCCCACCTCATGGAAGCATTCACACTGTCCTAGAAGAGCTCTGAACCCCCCACTTCGTGTCTAAAATAGGAGCTGATTTCAATTTGTGGTTTCTTTGTTTTTTAACTTACTGAGGAAGGAAAAAAATCTTATCTTTATTCTGGCCCATTCAGCAAAGTTTTCATTGCTGCTGCTACTGCTGCTAAGTTGCCTCAGTCGTGTCCGACTCTGTGCGACCCCATAGACAGCAGCCCACCAGGCTCTGCTGTCCCTGGGATTCTCCAGGCAAGAACACTGGAGTGGGTTGCCATTTCCTTCTCCAATGCATGAAAGTGAAAAGTGAAAGTGAAGTCGCTCAGTCGTGTCCGACTGTTAGTGACATCATGGACTGCAGCCCACCAGGCTCCTCCATCCATGGGATTTTCCAGGCCAGAGTACTGGAGTGGGGAAAACTAAATATATAAACTAATTTATTTAAAGAAAGAGACCTGAGAATCTTGTTTTTAGTATCCAAGTGTATTATTTTTCCAGTTTTATTGAGAAATAATCAACATCCATCACTGTATATGTTTAAGGTGTACAGCACGCTGGCTTGTTTTATATATATTGTGAAATGATTACAGTTCCTTCAGCTAAAATCCATCATCCTGCATAGATACAATAAAGAGAGGAAAAACTATTTCCTCGTGATGATTTACTCCACAACTTCCCTGTGAACCACAGAGCAGTGTTGACTATAGCTCCTGTGCTGTGCATCACAGCTCTTCTCCTTATTCATCTTAGAATTGGTATTACAATGCTATTACATTACCGGTAATACAATGGTGTTACATCTTACAATGGTATTACATTTTGACCACCTTCCTCAGAGTGGAAACCACCAGTTGGATCTCTTTTTCTATCAGTTTGGTGGGTTAGGGCTTGTTGTGGTTTTAATATGTAAGAAACATCATGCAGTAGTCCTCTTTCAGTATTTGACCTGCCTCACTCAGAATCAAGCCCTCAAGGGCTTCAGTCCTGACAGGTGTGAGGTGATGTCTCGTCATGGTCTTGATTTGCATTTCCCTGATGGTTAGTGGTGTTGAGCATCTTTGCAGGTACCTGCAGGCATCCATGTGTCTTCTTTGGGAAAAAATGTGTATTCAGATCCTCTGCCTCTCTTTTAATTGGATTATTTCATTTGATGCTATTGAGATGTATGAATTCTTTATATATTCTGGATAAATTAACCCTTATCAGATACATGGTGTGCAATTATTTTTTCCATTTTGTAGGCTGTCCTTTTACTTTATTGATGTTTTCCTTTGCTGTGCAGAAGATTTTTAGTCTGATGTAGTCCCACTTGTTTATTTTTCATTTCGTTGCTTGTGATTGTAGTGTGATTTCCAAGAAATCATTCCAAGACCCATGTCAAGGAGACTTTTTTCCCCTAGATTTTCTTCCGGGAATATCATGGTTTTGAGTCTTATTGATATGTGCTAAGTTGCTTCTGTCACGTCTAACTCTTTGTGACCCCATGGACTGTAGTCCACCAGGCTCCTCTGTCCATGAGGATTCTCCAGGCAAGAATACTGGAGAGGGTCGCCATTTCCTCCTCCAGGGGATCACCCCAACCCAAGGATTGAACCCAAGTCTCTTATGTCTCTTGCATTAGCAGGTGAGCTCTTTGCCGCTAATTTGTCTATAATTCACTCCAAGTAAAATTTTTTGAGTGGTGTAAAATAGAAGTCTAAGTTTACTCTGTTATGTGAGATTATCCAGTTTTGCCAGCACCATTTATCAAAGAAACTGTATTTTCTCCATTGAGTATTCTTGGCTATCTTGTCAAATATCTGTTGACTTTATACAATTGAGTTTATTTTTGGGCTCTCAATTCTGTTCCATTGATCTGTGTGTCTGTTTTTATACTAGTGCCATACTGTGCTGATTACTGTAGCTTTACAGTATAGCTTGAAATCAGAAAGCATGATGCCTCCTGCTTTGAGGAGCTGATTTTTGTGTGACCTAATTTTGAGACCTTGGTTAATCCTCAGCCCCTTTGAATGTATGTTTGTTAATGATTAAAATATGTTGTTTGAACTATTTGTTGCTATGGTTCATTTCAGGTCAAAAATACCATTTTCACCAAATTTTAAATCAACTTTACCACAGGGGCCAAAAGCACCTTAAAAGAAAATGGCAAGTCCCAAGTGAAGAGAGACACACCTCTGAAGGGTGGCTTGGAGTTGTGCCCCTCAAGAAGGGACCTATTTGAAATTGAACAAAAGAAAAATAAAGCTTTGTCATTTTCAAACCTTGACACATTCAGTGGTTTAATTGGTACAATAGCTGATGTTTACTAATACGCTTCTGCGCTTTAGTTCCATCACTTAAAAGAATGAAAGCAATAGTTCACCCCTAGGAAAGTTTTTGTGTGGTTTGTATTGAACAACCTGTGTGAAGGGCCCATCGCCACCCCAAGAACCTCCTCTGCACCCCCCAATGTACCCCCCACTTCCCCCACAGTGCTTCCCCTTTGGAGTTCAGCTGCTGCCCTCATCCTGGAGGCCATGCTGTGCCCTGGAATCGGTCGTCTCCAGATTCCCGAGTCCTGTGTCTTCGATGGGGCGGGGCCAGCACACGCTGCCTGGGCTCTCCAGCTGCAACCAAGGCGACACCTCTACCACCACCACCACCGCAAGGGACCACTCAGCCCACTGGGGGAAACCTGTGGTTACCCACGTGAGTGGAGACAGGCAGGAGGAACACTTCCAGAACACCCTGGACCCCTGTTCCCCGAGGCAGCAAAGGAGCCAGAAGGCTGTGCCTTAGTGGGGCTGGGAGGAGGTGAGCCTGCAGAAGGCCCTGGTCCCCGGGCTTGGCCGGAAAGTGCCCACCTCGTGAGCTGGGACAGCAGCTACATCGGCAGCAGCCTCCCTGAGTGTGGGGGACGCTTTGCCCCTGTGCTCTCTGCTCTGCCCCCCTGCAGTCCCTGGCACTGACCTGGCCAGTGTCCCCCGTGACTCAGCGCTCATTCTCACACTGTATCCTCTGCCCTGCCCCAGTAACTCATTGCGGCGGGTCCCCAGTGAGGTCAGACCCTCCCTTTCTGCCTCCAGTCACTTCCTAAATCCACCCTCTCTCCCAGGAAAACCCTTCAAGTGTGTGATCACACTTCCGTTTTCTCTTTTAGTGCTTCTTAATCTTTTTTTTAGGACCTCTCTGAGACCCTGAAAGAAGCCGTGGATGCTGCCCCGAAGGAAGGCCAGCCTCGGGGCTCTGGGTCTCTGCAACACCCCCTCTTCGGAGTATGAGGACAGGGCAGCACAGTGGCCAGTGCCCAGCAATGCACCCCTCGAGCGCCTCTGTGTGGTGGGAGCCTCGGCCGCCCCTCCTGGTTGCCCCCCTCCCCCCGGCCCGGAGCCCAGGACAAACCTCCAGGAGAGCTGCAGGCGAGGGGAGAGGGCGGGATTAGAAACTGTAATTCAAGCTAATATTTGAGGCTTGGCAAGTGCACCTCTGGGACTTCTTGAAAACCCCCGAATCTTTCTCGTTTCAGAGCAATTAAGCCGACCCCAGCGTCCTGGCTCCAGGAAGCCGCGAGGCTCCGAGTTTACTGCCGTTTCCTCTCCCTGGGCTGCTCCAGCTCCATCCTGGCCGGTCGGTGCCACCGAGGGGCTCCCGCGAGCCAGCGTGGGCTGGGGCGGGGGCACGGGCGGCCGCGGGTACATGTGGCTTCCAGGCCGCGGGCCGAGGCACTGATGTGTGGTATAATCGAAAACATCCCGCAGTAATTTAATAGTTCCCACCAAGCACAGACATGAAGTCTAGCAGCCCTTCCCTCCACACACTGAGCCCTGGGAGGCGGGGGGGAGGGGGGACGCCAGCAGAAACGGGAAATCCATCTGCAGGGCCGCTGCCCAGGGACTTTCATGCTTCTCTTTGGGTTTGGCTCTGATGTTACAGAGAAAGATGTGCACTCTGGAAACATGCAAGAAGCAGGGGTTTACATTAAATGTCTTGTCCAGCCCTGGCGGGGGTCGGGGATGGGGGGCGTGAGGACCCTCACACACTGGGGAGGCTGGGCCACTGCTGAAAGAACAGAAAGCAACACTGGTCAACACGGTGACCAGTGGGTGCCCCTTGTGAAAAGCGCTTGAATCCCACATGGAGGGGATGCCCAGGGAGGGAACTGACTGACACTCTGAGCCCATGTACCCCCCCACCCCCCAGACCTCACCATGAGAGCCATCAGCGGGGAGATCCCCAGGCACCCTTGCCTGCGAGTGGATTTGTGACCAGGCAGGTAACAAAAGTGGAAGCACAAGCTTGGGAAGAAATCTGTCTTCCAGTCAGAAGTTTTCTTTTTCAATCACAATAAATTTTCCTGAAATTAGTCACACACCGTTGCCTAAACTTCCTGTATTTGATGAGATCAGTAGCGGCCCACAGCTGTGGTTTGTGGTCTCATCTGCAGCCGCAGACTCATCTGAGGCTCTGCCGTCGAGGCCAGCGGACTGGGGTGTCTGCACACATGCATAGAGGCCTACTGTGTGCCCAGGACCAGCCTGCAGGGAACACGGCTTCCCTCTGGCTCTACCCAAAGCCTGGAAGGAATGTTGACGAGATTCCCTGATGCACTAAGTGGGGCTCTGAGCAATAGCGCTGGAAGTCTTCACCTGCAGAATCTCTGGGGTTATCCTGCCTCGTAGCCCAGGAGCCGCCAGCCTCCCTGGGCAGCTCACCCCCGATGTGAGGTCAGGAGATGGGCTGGCCCGGTGCCCATCTGGCTTTGTGGCTCTGACCCTCGGAGGGGCCTCCCTGGGCTCCACGCCCTCATCTGCAAAGGAGGCTGATGAGGGCGTCGTCCTGCTCAGGCCTGTGCACGAGGAGCCAGTTAATGTTGGAAAAGCACTTGGAACAGAAAGTGATGCTGTGGTGCTGGGTGGGGTTCATCATGGCTTTGCTGTGAGATGAGAGTTGGATGACACAGCACTGACCGCAGTGGCTGAGAAAACCCACGGCATTGAGAGAGCAGACGGGGCAGGGCGGGGGTCCTGACAGAGCTTAGTGAGGCCCTGGGCTCCCCTGGGAAGGAGATCCTTAGCAGCAGACAGGGCTGATTAGCAGACAGACCCAGATGACAGGAGAGAATTAAGAGCAGACCCAACAGCAGTCCTAATGGTGGGGCATCCCTAAGCTCTGTGTCAGCCTTCCCACCAGGCCCCACCCTGGGCAGAGTAACAGGGGTGGGACAGGGCCTCTCAGGGATCACATGCCCACCCACCCCCGGGGTCTGACATCCCAAACCCCCGAGTATCCTGACTGTTCTCCTTCCCCCACCCAGAAGGGAGCCATGACCTCAGCCTGCACCAGGGGTGGGGCAGTCCTCCTCTCCAGACCAGGGTCCTGGTGTGGACACCACTCGCCACCCACTCTCTGATGAGAAAGTTCTCCATCGGGTATAAAATATCTGATACACATTTACACAGTACACTGTGGATATGGCATTTGTTCATTTACATCTTTGATAAATACATACAACTTCATGAGAAACACATGTTACTCTGTCTGGTGGAAGAAGTTGGGTCGGATGGGAACCTGGGTCTCTACTGTGAAATGAATCCCGAATGACAGGATCCCACTGTCCCGAATAAGATCAGCCTCCCAGGAGAAGTCCCGGAAACCGAAACAACCCCAACCAGAGAATGCACTGCGTCAGACTCACCTGGGCCTATTTCCTCTCCACTTTCTTTGACGTTAAACGTTATCGGAGAAAAACGTGATTCAAGGTGAGCTCTGCGTGCTGGTTCCTCTCGGGTGTGCTGCTGCCCGCAGCCACCAGCCAGGTCCTGAAGTCAGTGGTCCTGCCGTGCCGAGAGGGCCCTGGGCAGCGGGGTCTGTGTTTGTTTGCCTGGGCTCCTGAAAAACTACCAGTGAGGCCTCACCCTCCACATCCCCCATGTCAGGGGCGGGGGGTCAGGGCGGCCCTGCTGGGGGGGGCCTTCCTACAGCCCCTCCCCAGGATGCAGGCTGTGGTCCCCCCACACCCCCTCCCCATGCCCCTCCTGCTGCAAGGCTGTGCATCCCTGCACCAGCTCCCTTTCCCCAGAAGCCCCTGGCCAACTCGACCGCCGCGTCCCAGCAAGAACTGCTCTACTTGGGCGGCTGAGGCCATAGGGCCCCCAGCTCCGCGCCAGCAGGCGGTGCACACTTGTCCAGTGCCCCTGCACCTGGCCTCACTCTGCTAGAGCCTCTCAGCTTTTCCCAAGAATCACCTTCCCCAGAGCCTTCCTGTGGCAGAGGCCAGACCCGAGGTGACCCAGGACCCAAGATGACCCCAGGCCCGAGGTGATCCCAGGCCTGACCTGACCCCAGACCTGAGGTGATCTGAGGCAACCCCAGCCCCAAGATTGCCCCAGACCTGAGGTGACCCCAGCCCCAAGGTGACCCCAGGCCCAAGATGACCCCAGACACAAGGTGGCCCCAAACCCAACGTGAGCCCAGGCCTGAGGTGATCCCAAGCCCAAGGTGATCCCAAGCCTGACCTGACCCCATCCCAGAGGTGACCCCAAGCCTGACCTGACCCCAGACCCGAGGTGACCCCAGACCTGACCTGACCCCAGACCTGAGGTGACCTGAGGCAACCCCAGCCCCAAGGTTGCCCCAGACCTGAGGTGACCCCAGACCTGACCTGACCCCAGGCCCAAGATGACCCCAGACACAAGGTGGCCCCAGACCCGACATGAGCCCAGGCCTGAGATGACCCCAAGCCCAAGGTGATCCCAAGCCTGACCTGACCCCAGCCCCGGGGTGACCCCAGGCCTGACCTGACCCCAGACCTGAGGTGACCCCAGACCTGACCTGACCCCAGACCTGAGGTGATCTGAGGCAACCCCAGCCCCAAGGTTGCCCCAGACCTGAGGTGACCTCAGCCCCAAGGTGAGCCCAGGCCCGAGGTGACCCCAGGCCCAAGGTAAGCCCAGGCCCGAGGTAAGCCCAGGCCTGAGGTGACTCCAGACCCAAGGTGACCCCAGGCCTGAGGTAACCCCAGGCCCAAGGTACTCCTGGCCCAAGATGACCCCAGACACAAGGTGGCCCCAGACCCAAGGTGACCCCAGGCCCGAGGTGAACCCAGGCCCAAGATGACCCCAGACACAAGGTGGCCCCAGCCCCGAGGTGACCCCAGCCTGACCTGACCCCAGGCCCAAGATGACCCCAAACACAAGGTGGCCCCAGACCCAAGGTGAGCCCAAGCCTGAGGTGACCCCAGGCCTGACCTGACCCCAGGCCTGAGGTGACCCCAGGCCCAACCTGACCCCGGACCCAAGGCGACCCCAGGCCTGAGGTGACCCCAGGCAGGCCCGAGGTGATCCCAGGCCCGAGGTAATCCCAGGCCCGAGGTGATCCCAGGTCCAAGATGACCCCAAACCCAAGGTGGCCCCAGACCTGAGATGACTCCAGACCCGAGGTGACCCCAGGCCCAAGCTGGCCCAGACTCAAGGTGGCCCCAGACCCTAGATGGCCCCAGACGTGAGGTAGCCCCAGGCCAGAGCTGACCCAGACCTGAGGTGGCTACAGACCCGAGGAGACTCAGACTCAAGGTGACCCTATTTCCAAGGTGATCCAAGTCCCAAGGAGGCCCAGTGTCACACAGAGGTAGCCCTCCATCCCTCTGGCCTGGAGCAGATTAGAAGAGCAGGGGATGGGCAGAAATGGTCACTGACCACAGCCGGATCTCACTGCCCTCCTGCCCTCTCCTGTCCCCGAGGGTCTTCCTAACTCCTTTCTGAAATTGAAACGACACATTCATCCTGGAATTCAAACCCCTTCAAGCCAGTGCAGTAATTCTCCAAGCATTTGCATTTTCACCTCCAATTATTAAATGGAAGCTCCGTGTCTTGTTAAAGAAACGCCTGGTCAAGGGGAAGATTTCCAGGTGAAGCCTCCCTGTACCTAAAACCCCATCGAAGTTCCACGTGGTGGATGTGACAGAGCTGTGTGTGGTTCCACGTGGCAGCTCTGGGGGCCGTGTGCCAACACGTCCCTCAGCCTGGCCCCCAGCCTCCCTCCCAGACCTCCCCCCAGACCCCTCCCTTGGGCAGCCCCCACCGAGACCACATGCCCCAGGGGGCTACTCTGACAACCCCAGACTCTTTCTGATCTCAGGATGGGGCATGAAGGTGCCCTGACAGGACGAGGGGACAAAGGTGTGGAGGTGAGAGGGGACCCAGAGGGGCTGGGTGTCCAGGAAACCTCTGCCTTCACCCCTGGGGAGCAACAGACCCCCAGGAAAGCTGGAGAGACCCCAGGTTTGAAGGCCAGAGTCCCCAGAAGACGAGAGGAAGCATGTAGAAGCTGTCTGTGCCATCGTGCTGGGCACAGTCACCGTTGGGGGGGAGGGCCAGGAGAGGACAGAAAACAGGAGGTTTGAAGACATGGGTCACAGCAGGCGTGCTCCAGGGCACCCCCACCCCCCCGCCCCAAGCATCTATTCACGGGCAGGGATGAGACACACACTGCTGACTGAGGGACTCCGATTTTCAAAGAAGCAGATCCGTTATCACTTTGAAATATTCACATATGCCACCACAAAAGGCATTTAAAACAAAACTTGCCATTTTTTCAGGATCCAAACCTGGCTACTGTTTCTGTAAATGGCATAAAGAAACATTGCTTCATCTGTGGTCCTATCTATCACACGGGGCACAGGGCTCATCCTTCCAAAAGTAAATATTTGTGGAGAAAAAAAAGAGTGGGATTGGCTAAGCCGGTTTTTCAGGCCCAGTGCAGAAAAGTAAAAATCTGATTTATTTCTTCCCCTGTTCTGTTCTATTAAACTGAAGTCGTGCAGAAAGCGGCTTTACCATACGTGTGTGTGTTTTATGAAGGGGAGGCTCACTCTGAGTGAACAGCCTCCAATATACAACGATGCCCATGGCAGCTGTTCAACGCGGGTGGCACGGAAGCTGAGTTTCCTGGGAGGGTCTTGGTCAACAGTTTGCTGGGGCCAGCTCGCCCCGCCCACCTAGGAAGCCCACTCTGCCCACCGCTTCACGTCCCTGCTAAATGACAGCACTCTGGGGGCTTAGATCAGCCATGCGGGGGCAGTGCCCAGGCCTGAAACCAGCACACCTTACACCCAGCTCTGGTCCCCAGAGACCCATCAACCCTTCAGCAGCTCCGCCAGGAAATCGAGGTGGCGGAACAAAAACCAACAAACCAAGGCCTCTGCCTGACACAGGACTCCAGCTACGAAGGGCTCCCGAGCTCCTTCCTGGTCAGAAGAACCACCTGCAAGCCCTGTTATCAAACACTGAACTGCCTTGAAAACTAGCTCTTGCTGCAGGTTTCATAATGTTTCTTAAGAAATTCAACCTAAAGACAAATACCAGAATCCCCATGGACAGAGGAGCCTGGCGGGCTTCAGTCAATGGGGTCTCAAAGAGTCAGACACGACTGAGTGACTAAGTGCACACACACACAAAATGCATATATATGGAATCCAGAGAGATGGTACCGACGATCCTACGGGCAGGGCAGCAAAGGAGACACAGATGTAAAGAACAGACCTTTGGACTCAGTGGGAGAAGGTGAGGATGATTTGAGAGAATGACATTGAAACATACACATTACCATATGTAAAACAGATAAGCAGTGCTAGTCTGATGTATGACTCAGGGCACCCAAAGTCAGTGCTCTGTGACAACCTGGAGGGATAGGGTGGGGAGGGAAGAATGGAAGGGACACCTGTGCACCTACGGCCAATTCATGTTGATGTAAGGCAAAAACCATCAGAATATTGCAAACTAATTATTCTCCAATTAAAATAAATAACTAAAGTTTAAAAAAAGAAGAAATTCAACCTAGTCATTTCATCAACAACTAACATTGTCTGAATTACAAGCAGTATCAAGATGCTTTATACACTTCTTGTTAAAATTTAAAACAAGATGATCTCCATACCAACACAAATGGCCTTGAAAATGCATCATTTCAGCTCAAACCACAGTCATGGCAGCTATTCTTGACCTCTATTGCAAATGCAGAGGAAATTTCTGTATTTCAAAATCCACTTAAACTTTCTGGGTCTCTATTAGGATGGGGTAAGCTCACTTTTCTCTGATGTATCCTCTAAATGCAAGTAGATAACTCTGGAAATTATAAACAGAGGATGATAAAAGGACCCTAAAGCCTAGAAAGAAAGAAGGGCTGACTGGAGACGTGGAGGTTTGGAGAAAGGCAGTGTGGTTCCCCAGGCTCCTTTGGTCTAGAACTCAGGGCAGGAGAAGCCTGCAACACAGAGCCACCGAGAGGCATGGATGACGTTTCTCTTCTCTCTGTAGCCAGAGGACACCAGGTTCCCCTCCCCCAGCCAAGTAGCTGGCAGGTAGGCAGGCCCCCTGCAGGGCCAGCCTCACCCTCCCCCAACTGTCCTGGGAGGGTCCAGCACCCCCGCCTCCACCAACAGCAGAGGGAGCCTTAGTTCTGCAGCTCCTGAGCTCCAATCCCACAATACAAGGCAACCCAGAGGAGTACACAGATTTAAGATGAGAGAAATAATAGTAAACCCAAAGAAATTCATACCAGCACATCAACATGGAACTTCTGAAAATTAAAGATGAAGAAAAATATCTTAAAAACTGGCAGAGAGAAATAACACATTATTTACTAAAGAACAAGAGTTTATAACAGGAGATTTCTCATCTGAAACCAGCTGCTACTACTGTTGCTGCTGCTGCTGCTGCTGCTGCTAGGTTGCTTCAGTCGTGTCCAACTCTGTGCAACCCCATAGATGGCAGCCCACCAGGATTCCCCGTCCCTGAGATTCTCCAGGCAAGAACACTGGAGTGGGTTGCCATGTCCTTCACCAATGCATGCAAGTGAAAAGTGAAAGTGAAGTCGCTCAGTCATGTCCGACTCTTAGTGACCCCATGGACTGCAGCCTATAGGGCTCCTCCATCCATGGGATTTTCCAGGCAAGAGTACTGGAGTGGGCTGC